CCCTACTGTCGATGGTTTAAGTCACTGTGGGTACCGACCACCCTGGAACAAGTGACTGAAACTGGCTAAATCTTTTTTAGAGTGATTCGATGGTTTATATTGATTAGGTTAGCTGTGATAGCGAATAGCTTGCCATCAATTCTTCAGGCTTGCACTAAACTTGAAAACGAAAAGACAGATAACAAGAAAATAGTGGTGGTCCCATATCTCATCCTTCATATTATTATTTGGAAAGAGAGCAAAGAGATTCTGTCAGCCCTTAAATGTTTTCGTCGAGGTCTCGTCCCTTAGCTGAAGTCAACCTGAGCTTGGAAGCGCACTGATGTTGCCTCCTCCCACGGCAAAGAAAATTGTGCAAGTCAAATACCAAGCTACGCGGATGGACCGATATTCACCTGATAAATGGAACCAAGTTACCAATATTCCAACATATTGCCAACATTTTCTCTTTCAGCTCGCACAAGCCAGTGGATTAGAGCCCAATCAAATTACAGAAATTCTACTTGGGGATGAAAAGGTGGGTAAAATTTTATTTGTAGCCCATTTCTAACTATGAACCTGAGTTCCATGTAAATGTTTGTAGCATGAGGGTTTTTCTATTCAAAATCAGACTGCCAATTTTGTTTTGTCCTAGACTGTTCAAGTTATCTACCTTCCTTCGCCTTAGTTGTGTAACTCAAATCATTTTGCTCGAACAGAGTAATGATGAATTGCGAACCTGAAGAACTACTTTTTCCAGAATTCCGTTGGTCACATTTGAATTAAACTACTTGCATAAAACGTTTTTTCAACATTTAGGCCTGCTACCATTGTCCCAGAATTCCTATTCTTGTTTAATCACAAGAATAATTTGCGATGAATATAAACCCTAAATTGTCACAGAATGACTCAAAATCACATCGAAGAAAGTAGGCACATGAGCACCATTTTCTCCGGCCTTACTCAAGTAAATCGTTTAATCAAACATTTGAATTTTTAGAGCTTTCCAAGTGAGCTAGAAGTTAGCCCGAATCGTACTCTAACAAAGCAAACACAAGCACAACACACCTTGGATCTCCTGGTTGTACAACTAATGAATAGCAAGAAAAGTTACTTCTAGGTGCATTCATGTTAGTTTTATCTCAATTTTCTGAATTCTTCNCTTTCTCGTTCTCAAAAAATAATACGCGTGAATATTTGTATATATATATATATATATATATATAAGCACAGAAAAGTGGGGAAATTGTGCTGTAGCCTTTTACACAAGCATTATTAAAGCAATTTGTGGTCTATTGAGTACTGGGTTTCCAATATCTACAATTATTGATTATTGGGTTGGTGTTGGGCGTACTGGTGATCATCACCGGTGACAAGCTTTCTTGATTCAACCAGCAGAACCACTGAAAGTAACTCATATGTAAATGAAATAAGGGGATGAGCCAAGACGTCTCAGGGCTTCTATTCGCGCTAGCGGCTTTTAACGTTTTTCCTATGTCGCTCACATAGGGTTGGACACACTTATGACATGAGAGTGGGCGGTGATGAACTCCGGATCACTTATTCACGGGGACGAAATCCGCAAGTTTACAAAGTTTGGTGGACATGATTTGTTGGTCTGCGTGCTATCTTTACTTTTTACGAATCCATCATGCGTTAGGGTCCCTTGAAACTGAAGCCGTGTAATCCAGTCTGGTACGGTGTCCATCCGCTTTGGACCAGTTACTGTTGATGCGGTTTCTGTACCCCTCTTGAGTATTCGTCTGAGTTGTGGTCGCGTATCAGTGCACTCACAAAATGTACTTTTTCAGGTCGGATGTTGTACACTGGATTCGCACTCGAAGTAATCAACCCCCACTCAGTCTTTTTGTGATCGCTGTTACAGTATTGTGTCGGCCGTCACTGCCTTCCAGCGTACCATCAAAGCGGTGTACTTGTTTTTCGCTGTCACAAAATCAGTAAATTTTAGAAAAAGACACATATGTATGTTCTTCATTTTTGCATGACCAACATTTAACCCATATTGGTCACCGATAGTTCTATTACTCCACTGAATCTCCAGTTGACAAATTGGGAGTCTCCACATACAAATGCAAAACTGCAAATTGTTAGATGATTATTGCATTGTTTGGGCGCAAGAAAATGTTTCGCTTTCCGTGACAATTTTGTGTAGGAGAAAAACATTTGATGAAACTTGAGCTGCAACCCTGACGTACCTGCTAAACTGTCGATATGTATTATTCTTATCGAGTTGACTGTCTAACCGAATTTCATAAGTAGCTGTTAACATGAAACATTTTTCTTACTAGTCTTATTAAGTTCATCTTCCACAGTGCCCTTGAGTTCAGTTTATGGCTGATCTTCAAAGAGGTGGCGTTCTATATTTGTTACAGTGGGAGGCCTTTGAAAACTTTTTCAAGCTGAAAGGCAACAGATGCTTGATGTTCTTTTATCAGACGGTAAGTCCTCCTCAAAATTGCTTCAACTCTTTATCTGGCTTTTGTTAAAATTCTGACATTCACTATTAGTTGCTGGAAAGTAGCATCTTGCACCCACCAAGTGGCATCAGAGGTGTCAGTTACCTATAAGTAATGGAGACCATACAATCGAATTCTTAATGCTACTCATAAGAGCTTGATGCAGCTCACTACCGGTTCTGCCCTTCTTGGGACTCATCAGATAGGACTAATCCGCAAAGTAGCCTCTGTGCGACACATTTGATTAGAGAATACCACAAGTGACAGACATAACTGCCTTTCAGCCGAATATCCTGTAGACACCAACTTACCTGCAAACCAACCAATTATTGCATTGCAACCTAATCCGCAAATTAGCCACTGTGCGACATATTTGATTAGAGAATACCACAACTGACAGACATAACTGCCTCTCAGCCGAATATCCTGTAGACACCAACTTACCTGCAAACCAACCAATTATTGCAACATAGGCATAATTGGTGTTCAAGTGTGAAATCAGACTGAAAAATCCTGGTGAATTAGTTGAACCTGACGAGTCAGCCAGAGTTTTCACCAACCTTATGAGTAGCAATGATACACAGTTCAGGGTCTTGATTATCATTCCAACTGAAACATGAGGCAGCATTTATTTTGCACGTTCTGTTAGAGAATATCACAAACAATGATTTCTGGTGAGTCTGCTGTCAACAGCTGTGAAAATTGAAGATGATGGTCTGTGCAGTCGACTTGTTGAATAAAACACACGGTCCTGAGCTACCACAATAATAATCAAAGAAACGCATGACTAAGTTGCGAAGACAGGAGTCACCACAGAATTCCTCTACTAAGTTTGACAAAATCCTGAAGAAACGGGACACGTTCCGAACGATGCTAAACCGGAAGAAATGTAACCATGTCTGTTAGGACTGCACCAACTAACTGAGCTTCATTTATTCTTCTGCTCGCAAACAAACTGTGAAACACGAAAGTTTCCTGAACTAGAGTTTTTTATGGAACAGGTGTGCAGTTTATTGAATTGTGTCTCAGCAAGAATTTCATAGGCCTATGTGTAGTTCAAAACCAGGCAGTTTGAAGGCAATTTCAAAACCTTTTTCACTCGTGGACTGAGGTTCATTTGCATGTTTCTAAAATTTACACAAATCAGGGCTGACGGACATATGATTCCTGAGCAGTGCCGCAATAAATTAATCTTGAAGGACAAATTTTAACCACATTCTGCTCACTTACGCTATTGTTGACGCAAAACACAGAACATTTACCCTCAGCGCCCTTCACAAATGACCAGCGCAAATCTACTGACCTCAGTGAATTCCTCAGAAGTATGGGGCAAAGTGTGGGCCGAAACGTGCAGCTGTGACCATCGCGCCAAAAAACCCATTCATGTTCACAAGGAAAAATATATTCATTAATAATGAGTGCGTAGGCATAAGTACGAGCGATGATAAATACCAACCACTCGTGTACTTAAAATCTAGCTTTCTCACCCGTCTACTTGCCATCCGATGTGCTCTATGTAAAGCTACCCCTAATGACGATTCGAAGGTCAAATATGGGCTAGTCTCCCAACAAAGTTACGCGGTGATGCGCTCGGTTGGCGCAGTCATCCACATATGGAGAGATTGTCCTCAGCAAAGAACATTCACGTCAATCCTTTCAGGTGGTGGAAAGCAGCTCTAGCTGTTTATATGTGAGCATATATATATATTAGTTTCCCCTTGTTATCGTTCCATTGCTTTACACTATCTTGGTCTTTCATTTACTCCTGAAATAGGACACGTGACGAGCAGCTCTAGGTGTTTATATGTGAGCATATATAGATTAGTTTCTCCTTGTTATCGTTCCATTGCTTTACACTTTCTTGGTCTTTCATTTACTCCTGAAATAGTCTCAGACACGTGATGAACAGAATTTTACGCCAAGAATATTCATCACTCAGGGATCAGGTGAAGTGAGTCCTGTTAATATCACAATGAAACGGACAGCATGTTTCCTACTTTTGTCATAAGAAGCTCGCGGACCACTCTCAATTATCAGTGAAAAATTTAGGGATTAGCTCAATTTTGTGTTGCATACTTATGCAGGCGTTTAAGGTGTTTCATGGGCTGATCGTCAAAGCTATCATCTTAGAGCCAATTCGTACCGGACTTTGCCAGAGTAAGGCCGTGTGCCACCGATTTGGTTCCATTCTTTCAACTGTTCAGTACACTCAACAGTTCAACCCACTGTGACCCAGATCAAAAACTATTCTCTTACGATAACTTTCCGCTCGAGATGTCATAAAAACAGTGTGAAAATCACACATATATTCCTGTAGCCACACTTTGACCATTTCCAAATTAAGCCAATTAGAACTTCAGCACAGGTTTGGTCTACTCAGTCTCCTTTGTTATCTCGCTCTTTACTAAATTTTCCCTTACTTTGAGCCCTTCTGTTAATCCTGTACTTACTTGGCGGTACCATGCCAAAATCTTATGATCGCAACGTATGTGGTCAGAATGAAAATTGCAGGTGTACTGTCCACTCCGTCCGACCTTTGTACTGATGCGATGGACAAAGCGGATTCGGCGTTGTAACACCACTAGCACAGAAGCAAAGCAAACACAATTTCCACTGATATCATTTGCCACATTTCCCGGATTTGATCGACGTTTCGCTGGCACTGTACCAACTGTCCGTTCATTTCAGAGACTATCTGGTGCATGTTACGTGTTTTTGCGCACCACGGACAAGGCCATCACCGCTGCCAACATCAGTAGCGAGGTGGTGTTCCAGCAGCTGGATGCTATTGAAGATAACTTCCTCCACTCACTACAGACCTACTTTGAGCGATTGGCTATCCCTGTCCTCGAACACATAAGCGTAAGTCCCTCTAGAGTTCTGCTCTAAAGTGACAAAAGGAATGTGAATGTCTTCGTTTTTCCGAATGGTACTTAGGTTTCCATCTTCCTTTTTGTAAGCAGTGTATTGGCTAAACATTATTCATGCGGGTAAGAAACGAACAACCCATTTGCTATATTCGGATGGTGGGCTGACAAAATTGCAAGTGATATTTGTTGCAAAAGTGAGACTGCACACACGCGGTAAGCAGTGTTCAGCTAGTTAGTACTCTCAGGTAAGGTGACCATAGTAACGTAGGTGCCAAGCTAAGGCCGAGTAAAATATTAAAAAACATTTAGAATGTGCAGTGGGATAAAACAGGGAGATAAAATCTTAATAGTCCAGACAGGCTGGAATAGTATGGGGGACACAATCATGGAGTTCCGCTTTGATCCCCGTCTCAGTATCCCCAAACAGAAGTCTTCAACCTGACTGATTGCTCCATCTTGAAGTGCTGCACTCATGTTGATTCATCAACAAGCGAACAGTCGAACTGATTACACCAGAAAGTCATACCAGAGGTCAGCGATCAATGAAGGGATTTGGAAAGTTCGAGTACGGAATAAAACTGGTGAATGGGGCCTACAGCAGACTGAGTTGAAATAACAGGAAAAATGCACGTTGCTTTATGAATGATCCTACTATATGCAGTAGAGCAAAGCTGCAATGTGGGGACGATAGTTGAGGGCTGGAAACAAACGTCAATCTATTTTTCGTCTCTTGAAACAAAAAGTTGAGCACTTTTAGGCCCATTTTAAAGTGTGGTCGGTGCACAAGTACCAAAATGTTCAAAAGACCGTTTGAATATTTTTAACCCAATGCATAAAAACTGTTTGGTATTCGTGCTCTGATGCTAGCACGTTCAAGAACTGATTTTTACTACTGTTAAGGACGAGAACGAAGCAGACAGCTAGAGTGGTAAAGAGGACATTATCTAGTAATGAGAGGTTTCACAAGCACAACAAAGATGAGAATAATGTCGACAAGTGCTACCAAAATTTGGGTTTAGGATTATGTTATTCCATCTCGAACGACACGTCATTTTATTAACAAAATTGACCAGGAGCCTTCTCTTGGCTGGAGAAGGCTGGAGAAGCTGGAGAAAACTGTTGTCTTCACAGACCATACGTTGATTATATCTCGGATTTTGCACAACCTATGTTTGCCCGATGTGAAAAATGGCATATGGGTCATTAAAGGGACGTCCGCCTTCATCAGGACGATTAAGAGCTTAGCTGCCGTCTATTCTGTGACGTCTTGAATTGTACTCCCTCTCAGTAAAGGATGCCACATAAAAGAGGCCGCTATGGGCCAAGCCTTCATGTACTCTCCACAAGGAACCAAAGACCTCCGGTAATTTGTTTCATGAAACTAAAAACCGGGTTTTCTTTTCTATCGACCGTTTAATATATTGCTACCGACCTCATGTTTTGTCTAGTGAATGGACCAGGAAGAAGTTGGGCATGTCTCAGTCTAGTCTAAGGATGCGCATCTTGCATAAAATGCTCAACAATCGATGTTTTCTTACTCACGTTCTAAAATTCACGTTAATAAGCCTTTTGTAACAAGGTCCTTCTACTGGATAATCCTTGCACCATTTTACTAATATCCAACTAGATTTCCAATAAAACGTGGAATTTTTTCACATGCTTGATCTTTCCAAAATAATGTAACTTGCGATTAGTACATTTCGCTCCATCTGAGCCATGACACCTAGCAAACAAAAAGGCTGTCTCCTAGGTGATGGTTGGATTAAGCACACAACATTCGACGGTGCACTCCGCTAATTCATTGCATCTTACTTCCACAGTCTCATTTTTAATGCGACTTGACATTATAAATTGAAATCCCACATACGTCCCAATGTCACAACCGAAATCCATGTTTAGCTTTGAGTTACTATTCAGGGGAGATGTGATAGTAGGGATATATTGATACTGTATCGCTTGCCTGGAATGGGTAAGAGATAGTATTTTGCTTACAACCATGCCTCAAGACCTATACAGATGCCCATCAATACTTGAGTGTTTCCGCTGTTCCAAGTTACACGCAAGAGTCACGGAGGGTTGGTGCGCGTGCCAAAGTGAAAACAGCACAGAAATCAAGTGGGTGGATAATAAGAGGAACGTACATCAACGTTATTAAATCAATTGCGCAGCTGTTGGTAAAGTGGCACCTCTAGAACAAATGAGTTTACACGGATTTCCCAGTTTCTACACTAGATTCCGATTTTTAGGGCAGTCAGTGATCTAAGGGCACCGAAGTACGCAAATACGTGGATTGAAGACCATAAACATGTTTCGGCTCCCTACAAAAAAGGTTCCAGACAATATCCTGCCCAACTCTGGACGTCCCAACTACTTATTAAAGCATGGTTGCGATCGTTCACAAGTACTAAAGCCTCGTGGCTGCTTGATCCAATTCGCTTTGGCCAGTTGTCCGTTCTGAAAGTCGGCCAGATGCGCATTGTCCCAACGCTGGCCTTGAATGATCTGAGGTTACACTTTGCAAATGTGTTCCATTAATGTAAAGGAAAATTACAGGTTAAAACAGACAGAAAAACAGCAGTCAACCAAGCAGGTCATAGAGTAACGCAGAAGAACCGGATACAAAATTGGACACTTTCAACCATCGGTGGGATTGCGGGAGGGGAGGAGGTTCCTTGAAAAGTGTAATTGGGGTCGATATGAGGAAGCTTCGCTCCAGAGGATTTTCTCAGTTATGCTGCGGATGCCATACCTGTTGTTTACGCTTCTTGTACATATCTGTCTTCATCACTTGAGGACAGCCGTTGTTCATCTACGTACTAGTGTGCATTAGATAATATTTTTTTGTGGGAGCAAGTCCTCTTCCTCAGATTTGACGGCACATTCCGTGCGATTATCGATGCGGCATTTAAAAACTTCTCACGCATACTGTATAGACCAGCTTGGAATGCTTATGCCAATTCTTGAGCAATTCAATAAACTTTCAAACGCACTAGACACGTTTTCTCCATCAGATAGCAAAATAAGTTCATTTGTTCGCTCACTCAGCTTGTAGACGCTTACGTGACCATACACACTGATCATTTATTTCTGAAAAATGTGAACGTAAGAAATTGCGCAATCCAGTTACCGTTGATTACCTAAAAATTGATCAAGAATTGAAAAATGGAACCAGAACAAACGATCTTCAGGACTGAAAAATCTCGTTGAGTTCAGCGTTCTTTTGAGATTTCGTTATTCATGAAAAACTCCCCTCCAACATAGGGCTCCAACCGTTCCCCTAACAACCTGTATCTTTTGCACAAGCTAGGGTTGACTGTTCTCAAATGAAATCTCCAGAAATTTTGATGGTATTTTGTTCAACTGAGTTGGCTGAGTCGCCAGGATCTTGCATCTTTGGGCGAAGTTACCCCGCAACGCCTTGGAATGCTTCACCGGAAAATTTATCCCACTTTTCGCACGGNCTCAGCTTGTAGACGCTTACGTGACCATACACACTGATCATTTATTTCTGAAAAATGTGAACGTAAGAAATTGCGCAATCCAGTTACCGTTGATTACCTAAAAATTGATCAAGAATTGAAAAATGGAACCAGAACAAACGATCTTCAGGACTGAAAAATCTCGTTGAGTTCAGCGTTCTTTTGAGATTTCGTTATTCATGAAAAACTCCCCTCCAACATAGGGCTCCAACCGTTCCCCTAACAACCTGTATCTTTTGCACAAGCTAGGGTTGACTGTTCTCAAATGAAATCTCCAGAAATTTTGATGGTATTTTGTTCAACTGAGTTGGCTGAGTCGCCAGGATCTTGCATCTTTGGGCGAAGTTACCCCGCAACGCCTTGGAATGCTTCACCGGAAAATTTATCCCACTTTTCGCACGGTAGTTCAGTGCCGCAAGATTTACCTTAGTGAAGTAGTTGAGCAAGTTATCTTAGTTTGGAAGAGGACAGATTCGCGTTTTGCCGATAGCATATGGTCTGCATATCAATGCTATTCCGAGTGTGGGGTAGTTTTTGGAATTCAAAAGTACCGAGCTCTAACGTACAATAACTTGACAGGCTACCCAGAGAATGAGCCCTCAGATCAGTTCACTCCTTTTGTTCCAGTCTTATCCAAAGATCAAAACACCACTTTTGAACCCATACAATGAGGTAGTTGTAGTACCTTTAGAAGCTAGTTTTGCTGGGGACAAGTTTGTGACAACAGGGAGTCTTGGTTAATTTCTGTTGCATCAGTTAATACACACTACATAGTAGCGTTGGTTGGATTAAGCACACAACATTCGACGGTGCACTCCGCTAATTCATTGCATCTTACTTCCACAGTCTCATTTTTAATGCGACTTGACATTATAAATTGAAATCCCACATACGTCCCAATGTCACAACCGAAATCCATGTTTAGCTTTGAGTTACTATTCAGGGGAGATGTGATAGTAGGGATATATTGATACTGTATCGCTTGCCTGGAATGGGTAAGAGATAGTATTTTGCTTACAACCATGCCTCAAGACCTATACAGATGCCCATCAATACTTGAGTGTTTCCGCTGTTCCAAGTTACACGCAAGAGTCACGGAGGGTTGGTGCGCGTGCCAAAGTGAAAACAGCACAGAAATCAAGTGGGTGGATAACAAGAGGAACGTACATCAACGTTATTAAATCAATTGCGCAGCTGTTGGTAAAGTGGCACCTCCAGAACAAATGAGTTTACACGGATTTCCCAGTTTCTAAACTAGATTCCGATTGTTAGGGCAGTCAGTGATCTAAGGGCACTGAAGTACGCAAATACGTGGATTGAGGACCATAAACATGTTTCGGCTCCCCACAAAAACGGTTCCAGACAATATCCTGCCTAACTCTGGACGTCCCAACTACTTATTAAAGCATGGTTGCGATCGTTCACAAGTACTAAAGCCTCGTGGCTGCTTGATCCAATTCGCTTTGGCCAGTTGTCCGTTCTGAAAGTCGGCCAGATGCGCATTGTCCCAACGCTGGCCTTGAATGATCTGAGGTTACACTTTGCAAATGTGTTCCATTAATGTAAAGGAAAATTACAGGTTAAAACAGACAGAAAAACAGCAGTCAACCAAGCAGGTCATAGAGTAACGCAGAAGAACCGGATACAAAATTGGACACTTTCAACCATCGGTGGGATTGCGGGAGGGGAGGAGGTTCCTTGAAAAGTGTAATTGGGGTCGATATGAGGAAGCTTCGCTCCAAAGGATTTTCTCAGTTATGCTGCGGATGCCATACCTGTTGTTTACGCTTCTTGTACATATCTGTCTTCATCACTTGAGGACAGCCGTTGTTCATATACGTACTAGTGTGCATTAGATAATATTTTTTTGTGGGAGCAAGTCCTCTTCCTCAGATTTGACGGCACATTCCGTGCGATTATCGATGCGGCATTTAAAAACTTCTCACGCATACTGCATAGACCAGCTTGGAATGCTTTTGCCAATTCTTGAGCAATTTAATAAACTTTCAAACTCACTAGACACGTTTGCTCCATCAGATAACAAAATAAGTTCATTTGTTCGCTCACTCAGCTTGTAGACGCTTACGTGACCATATACACTGATCATTTACTTCTGAAAGATGCGAATGTAAGAAATTGCGCAACCCACTTACCGTTGATTGCCTAAAAATTAATCAAGAATTGAACAAACGATCTTCAGGATTGGAAAATCTCGTTGAGTCCAGCGTTCTGTTGAGATTTCGTTATTCATGAAAAAGCACCCCACCGAAATAGGGCTCCAACCGTGCCCCTAACAACCTGTATCTTTTGCACAAGCTCAGGCTGACTGTTCTCAAATGAAATCTTCAGAAATTTTGATGATATTTTGTTCAACTGAATTGGCTGAGTCGCCAGGATCTTGCATCTGTGGGCAAAGTTACCCCGCAACGCCTTTGAATGCTTCACCGGAAAATTTATCCCACTTTTCGCACGGTAGTTCAGTGCCGCAAGATTTACCTTAGTGAAGTAGTTGTTTGCTAGTTGAGCAAGTTATCTTAGTTTGGAATAGGACAGATTCGCGTTTTGCCGATAGTGTATGGTCTGCATATCAATGCTATACCGAGTGTGGGGTAGTTTTTGGAATTCGAAAGTATCGAGCTCTAACGTACAATAACTTGACAGGCTACCCNGAACAGACTATTCAATGCGAACTGAAAACTTAAGCTCAGTGACTTTTCAAACCGCCAATTTACCTTACGCTCAAATGCCTGTCCCACATTCAGGACTGGGGGAACCTGGGCAAAGATACACAAAGTTCGCCTGAGGTCGAGGAATTTCTAATGTGTATCAGGCGTTATCGGGAAACTCTCATCGGTGCCAAGGAAAATGCGGAAGATAAAATGGTTCTGGCGACAAATGAAGAGATCGCACTAATTGACAAACTGAAAAGTCCGAGTGAACTGCAAACCGTCCGTAAGCTGCCTGATTGTTGCATCGTTTTGGCCTGTTACCTGTGTTACTTGAATTTTATCTAATAGATAACTGTTGTACAGTACAACAGACTTACGGAACCATAAGCGTTCAGGCTTTGAGTTCAAGTAGAAGTTAGAGGCGGTGGTTCATTTCACCTATCATTTGAAAACGATTGGAAGTTTGAATACAATTCTAACTTTTCATTTTGATGTAGACTCACAAGTAGTTTCTGAATTTCCCAAAAACTTAAGTGTTGACATTATTCTCAGTCACCCCTCCAGAAACCGAGCTCACTGGCTGTCAGACAAAAACGGTCACGATATGGTTATACTCGCTCTTTGGGTGATGGCTATATACAATACAAGTAAAACTTATATGCACTCCTTGGTATTGCATATTTATAGGCCCAAGCAGCCTTTCTACGGAAATAAATTCCAAAACGCATGTATCCTCTGAGGGAAAACGTATCAAAAATCAATTAGAACACGTTGTCAAACTACTTCTATTTTAGAAACCTTTGTTATACACAATTAAACACCCCGATGATGATCAGTGTATATTTGATTTCGGTTCTCGGCGAATGACTGTTAAACCTCTTGAAGGGAGCGATTCTGAAGTTTGGAAATCACCCTAGGCAACTATCCGTTTACAGGCGATGTACTAGCAACTATTCATTATGCTAGCAAAAATATCTGGTCACGGTCTTCGCTGCAATATCAGTGAGGACTGTGAAAGCTACTTAAAACTCCATCATCGATTAGTTTCAAATAGAACAAAATTGATAACTTGCCACTTGCGGATTCAGAGCAGTCATTTCCCATATCCAAGGTAAAATTCATTATTCATCTTTATTCTGGCGTTGTGAATTACGCCGAATGATTTCAACATGCAATAGAGATTTTGTCCTTCCAGTGAAGCCTGGAAGCAGTGTACAGCTGTTTTCTTTGTGTTGAGAATCGTCAGCAGTGCGCATCTCACAAACCTCAGAGAGTTTCGAACGCGTGACATTCCGGCCGGTGACTGAACACCTAATCGTTGGGCCACGATCATCATTGTGATTAGCTCTAACTTAGGACATAGCGTCACTCATCGTTCATCAACGGAAACCATGTCATGTATTGACTGGCTGCTAGAGTGCCGACTTCAATATGCTATGCTATACTTTATCGGGACATCGATACGACACTTAAGTCATACAACTGCGTTTCAAACTCTGCGTGCTTCCTGAAAACTAGAAAGCCTGTGCCCTCTAAAGACAAACACTATTCCACTATTTTCCATTTTCTGAGGGCCACAATAAGACCTCGTCCATTTCTTCTTCGAAGAAGCTTATGCTTTCATAAAGGAAACTACTCACAAGTTTGCTGAATACCCTTCAACAGCCCACGACCGGTTTCGCCCTTTTTCGGGCTCATCAGGTAGGCGCAGTCCCCGAGTTTCCGTCAACTTATGTACCACTTGAACCCAAATTGTACTGTTTTTGAGAAATACACTCATTTGCAAATCAATTTAATTTTCATGGAAGAATAGAATAAACGGGAGATTCAGTTGAGTCTCTCATGAAAACCAAATTGCTTTGCAGATGAGTGTAGTTCTCGAAGCTTATGCTTTGTTGGAGGAGCGGTTATCAAATACAGTGACTTTCCTGAGCTGCTACGTTTGTGACAACCACTCAGGCAGGCAATCACCCTTTTCACACTTGAAAAAATCTGTTATCTTTCGTCTCAATCTTATAGCTTTAAGACAAATACATAGTTGGTAGTATAGCCTCTCGCCGCAACAACTAGGCTAAAGCGATGGATAGCTTTTCAGAAATAAATTTCACGAGTTCATCAACCGGACGAAAATGCCTTCAAAAATGCACAGTAATCTTTCATAACATAATATTGAACTATATCCTAGAAGTTTGTCTCGGAGAATCGAGTGTAAAACATTTTTTATGTAACTAAGTAAAAGCATCATTAGATTTTCAAGTATCAAACAGTCTATGTACACTGACCTGCACTCTAACGAATAGAAAACATTTTCGCTGATTCATATGAACTACCCTTGTGAAGTCCCATAAAGAAAACTTCTTACAAGGTTCTTCAACAGCCCAAGACCGGTTTCGTCCTTCTCAAGGCTACTCAGATAGGCACAGCCCCCGAGTTTCCACCAATCTTATGTTCTTCTTGAAACCAAGTTGGATAGATTGCAAATACACATATTGCCGTATAAATTCGGTTTCGACGGGAAACTTAAGTGAAATTCTCGTTTATGATATTCTTCAACTGAATTCGCTGCACAAGGGCAGCCTCGTATTCCAGCCGGTACGATATTTTATATATCACAGTGTATTTTCATAAAGGAGAGCCACAGCAATACGCTTCACTGGTGTCAGGCTCACAGGTGCAGCCAACCTGTGATTATTTGCTAAACGCTCTCCTCGAACGCACTCATTACACTTACTGTTCACCAAGTGAAATAGCGTCGCATGTAGCTCCCAAGCCTACTGTATGGTGACCCAGTACTCCTCCACACTTACTTGGGTGAACAGAAAGTACACACGCAACTTACCCGTCCAGTCAGTGGCTGAACGAATACTGAAACGCTTATTCACTAAACTCAGTCCCTGTTTGTTTTCCACGTGATACTGACCAATTGAAACAAATGTACAAGGTTAGCCCACTTTTATTCTGTGGTTCAGCTTATCGCACACAGTTCAGTAAGCACGCTACTGCTTTGCTAATTTTTTTAACAGCAGCTTTGCTGGCACAGTGTGAATGAGGTATGTTAGCGTCTACCTCGTTTGCGAACAAAATGTGTATTTACTTTGATCAATACTACGTTCCGGAAAATCCCCGCCCAGTGAAATTTTTTAACTTGCCTAGACTATTTCCTCCAGAAGACTACTGACTGTAGAGACTACAGTCCCTCAAAGTCTCATTTTACTGGTCTCTTCGTTAGGCTAATTGAAAACATTCAGATTAACTGCTCCACTTTCTGTTTACGTGTCTTGAAATTTTTCGCCCGTCCACACCTTTCAGTGAACAGTTCCGAGTCTTTGGAACGTTTGGTTTTGTTGGTCAGAAAGTGGGGAAATGAGATCGAGCAACTTTTGAACCAGTGTGATCAGGTTCGCCGTGAAACGGACGATATGGGGCCATCCCTGGAGTTAGCCTACTGGCGCACTCGTTTCGTACGCTTTACAAAGTAAGCCTTTTATTAATTTAAAAGTATTTTTCTTCATTCCTGTGCAAATTCTTTGCAAGTTCGTGATTGGTGCACACTGCTCTGCGTTAGAAACATTGAGCCAAGGAACGTGGGACACTTCCGTTGAATGCCTATTAACCTAAGGTTTATATTAACCTCAGCTTCTCGATGGGATTTCGAATGAAGGATTTGTCGTGCTACTTCTGACGTTTTTCACCAATAAGTCTGTAAAGGAAATAAAACTTCTTCCTAAAGATGGATCTTTCTGTTTGAAATTCTAAGGATGTAACTGAACTTGTTTTTTATCAGGGAATTGATGATTTGTAGAGACAAAGTTCAAAGAGTTTTACTTGATTAACGTTTGGAATCAATTGCGAAGTTATCGTTTTCGAGAAATTCTAGGAGAAATTTCAACCGAATGTTTTCTTCTGTAACTTAACGGTTCATCAATGTATCGTTTTCCCTGCTCTATCAGGAATTTCTTCTTTCCAGTACCACTATGACCTTGTGTTTGTATGCAGCCTTTCACATACCTCATGAAAATAAGTCATTGAATGAAGGTCAGCAAGGTAAATAAAGTACAGGATGGGTAGGCTCTCGCTGTTACGTATTTCGATGACAGATCAGACAAGGATAAGCATAGTAGATGAGAAAATGCTGCACATGCTTACCCATTTTTAAATTTTAGATAACGTCCTTCTGAAAATACGAGATTCCTGACTGCGAAGACTTAATATCAGTCCATCTTACTTGAGTCATGAATGTATACCATTAAAGAAACTCAAAACCCGACGGGATCTGAATGGAAATTTTTTACACCTCTGTACGCATAACCCAGACGGACCGATTACCGAATTAGATCTCATGTCGATGCAGCTGCCTTGTTGGTTGTTTGACACCAGCTGAATTTTTTCGTGCGCTTCCTAACACCGCTGGATAGTGTCAGGAATGAACTCGTCCTGGAGAGTACACAGCACACGCGGTGACTGGACAGTGGGACAGTTTGCGCGCCCCCTTAACACTGAGCTATACTCAGGGTTATCTGTCCGACTCCTCAGTCTCTCATACTAGACTAACCAGTGTTTAGAAATCTGACAAGCACAGTCTTCGGGGCTCTTACGTGGGAGTAGGAGCTGGTATGGCGAACTGGACTTCAACATTTTCAATATCCTTGCATTTCTCGCTAAAATGTGCTGCTTTACGGTCAGGCATCTGAACCAAACGCTTTGGCCTATGGCCTTATTTATCATCCTGTCTAGGTTTGGGCTCCATGATGTTACCCCAGCCCGCGTACGAACGTGATTCTCAACCAAAATCAACCACGTACCACATGATTTCTCGCGCCGTGTTGTCAGTCACACCGCCTTGGTTGCTGCATACTTCAGGGTGCTTGAGCAAAAATACGCCACTTTGACGTCTCCTTTCCATCTGTTTCACGTACTTTTTCTTCTCCCCTCGCATACTCCACTGATAATGCTCCCCTTGCAGGGCACGTCTGTTAGGCCCTATCTAACCATCATCACCGACAGCTTCACACACTCCAAACATTACGCCAAATGTCCGGGCGCCCGATTTTTGGGCTGCCTGTAACGCTCGTACCTTGAAGCTTGGGCAACAACAAGCCACTCTTGCTGACAGACTGAGCTTGCTTGCGTTTGATATATACTATTTACGAAAAACAGGATTTTGAGATCTAAGAACAGACATTGGGCTAAATGCTTACTGCCATTATCTTGCATGTGGCAGTGCACCTCTGGCGTTTTGAAGACCACTGCGGCGAGTTGTGAAGAGGTTCGCATCGTTGTAAGTCATCGGTCGGAAGAGATCTTTTTGGAGTAAATACCCCTTGATATTAGTTCATTTAACAGTGGTTGTGAATGCAATTTTACAAAATGTAGGTTGCTCGTTGCCATTTTGTCCTGTATGCTTTTGCCTTCGCTGAATATCGCTCTGACTGGATATTGTTATGCAGCACTGTCCTCAGTAGTAACCGATGTCGTCTTGCTGCACAGTGTCCTCTAGCAGTCACTCAAACTGATCACATCACCAACAGCTAAGCACGATGTGGATCAATCATTCTGTTACATCCTTTGTAACACAGAGGTCTGGTAAACAATCAGCGGACTTATAGTTGAGCAGCGTTTCGCTTTTGATACAAAAGCTTCATCGGGCCACATGAGGCGATGTGCAGTAATCAGCAAAATAGTCTGGTTCTAATAGTAAAGAATTCGAGCAGAGTAAGGTCCACTTAACCACCACTCCCAATCCAATCGTCCTGACACACCTCGGCGCACACAGGCGAACAAAATCTGTGTGCGCTGCTAAGAGTAACTTTCCACTGAGGTGTCCTAAACCTGAAAAGCAAGGCCGAAAAATCTGGCTTCAACAAGAAGACAATTCCTCCTTATCAACTTATGGTAAATGTTAGTCATCCTCAATAATCAACAAACAATAAATTCAGACCGAAATCCAGCATTGATTGAGTTGGATTCACGAATTGTTTACCAGTCACCAACCAACCTGGTGAACTGCTTATTCGGCCTGACGAAGCTTTTGTGTCAAGAGCGAAACGTTTCCCAGCATTAACTACACCAATCGCTTACCAAAACTCCCTGAGATGATGACTGTCCAATGGGTCCTAAACATTTTACAATTCAGGTGAATTCTGTTCATGCAGTCACCCGGAGTCGATTTCTCTGTATATTCTTCACTTAGCACCTGACAGGCCAGCAGATTCCGCGAATCCCGGAGATATCCGAAAACTCTCCAGGACTTCCTTGCTACCACTACACTATCTCACTGGACTAAGGTTGAGTTGTACTGGAAGCTTCACCTGAATAATTTGGTGCCAGCAACGCTTAAACTTTGAACGTCAGACAGAACAGTAGCACTATCTGCTTTTCAGAGGCGCGTCCCCGTCTGTCCCGACTAATCAGACGTCCAAAGGGATTTGATAAGCCTACCGATAGTAAGACCTAGGAAATATGGGACGCCAAGCATACAAAAGACGCGAAATTCATACTCAGATTAACAGGAATTGATCCACTGGACAACTACGCACAGTAAGCAAGCAATTGGTGGTTTGTGCGGAGCCGGAGATGATGCTACGTGCGAGCAGCTGACGCACATCTAAACCCGAAGGAATAAGAATGACATTAAAACAAGCAGGGAGCTATTGAGAGCCCTTAGCCAGTTTAAGTGCACTGACACAACAATGAACACGAGAATTAGTTCTTTCGCGCCTTGGCCTCATTCATTAGTTAGTTAAAGCTAAGACCAGATGCCACAGTTCAACCTAGTGACTTACCATGACACGAATC